CCATATTTTACTTCATATTTGGTGGGTTGGGTGATAAATGAGTTGCCAAAGATTTAAAACGCTTGGAATGGGTCTAATAGAACAAAGTCTAATTGGTTTCAGTGGGTTTAGAAAGAATCTATTTTCAAATCATGTATCGCCCACGTCTTGGGTGACGCATCAAAGTCTTTAGAAGAGCAAGGTGGGTGTGGGCTTGAGCCCTCCCAGATCGAAGATGGCCACGGCGCGTGATGGGAGTTGATGGACAGGTTCATCGATCCCACTCTAGTCTATAAATTTTTTGAGGGAATAGTTAGGCCGTGGAACTTGACGCAAATTATTGAAGAATGACTAAATTGACTTGGATCATTAAAGCATGAATTCAGAATATGTGTCGTCACAACACATGCATACTTTTCTAGTGCTTTATAAGCTTCTCAAGTTTTGGGTTTTTTTTTTTGCATTCTTTATTTTATTTACTAACATAATTTTATTTTTGTTAAGATACTTTTTTTTATTTGATAGAACATTTTCTCCAAATAACAAATTCACACAAAGAGCTTAAAGTGAGTTAAATTAAATGGGTGGGCATGGGTTTTGATTAGTTGGCATAAATTTGAATGTATTTTAGTAATATGAGTTAGTCCAAGTTCGGGCTGAATATCAATCGCTAAAATTGTACTAAAAAAAAAAATCGATTTGGGTCAAGCCTATTTTCGATCCACCCAAATCCAATCCAATCTATCCATTTGAAAGGGACTACTCGTGAGACAACCCAAGCAATCTTTGTCCTTAGCTTTGAAGTTTCAGAGCTCCGAAAGAATCGATGAAATTCCTCAGGACTTTGCCTGCTCTGAAACGTGGAGGAGCTGAATCATCTCGTGTTTTTGTCTCTTCATGCGTGGTTGGGAATGCGTATTCAAAGCTTTATCATGACTAATTTGCAAGCCTAATCTTGGGGGCCTTATTCCATCCGTCCCTACATTAATGCCCCATCGGATATCGTAGGATCGGGAGCTCCACGGGCCATCGACTTTATTTACTTGGTCGGCAAGAGAAAGACTTCCTGGTCGTCGACGTTCGTCTTTATCCCCTGCGAGCCGGCCAATGAATTGAATGTTTTGAGGGAGGCAAGATGGATAGCTTGAGTAAAGTAGGTTCACATGCACCGAGTACAAGCGGGACTTGCTCTGCCTGTCAACCCCGAAAAGGGGAAAAAAAAAGAAAAAACAAAAGAGGGACGTCTCTGGATCTTTCTTTTATTATTTATGAAATCTGTGTAAGTGGGTGGAGATTTCACATGGTCCTTGATATTTACATATACACTCTTGGAATAATCTTGGGTGCCTTATTCCATTCGTCCCTACATTATTGCTCCATCGGATATCGTTGGATCGGGAGTCCCACGGGCCATCGACTTTATTTACTTGGTCGGCAAGAGAAAGACTTTGTGGTCGGCGACGTTCGTCTTTATCCCCTGTGAGCCGGCCAACGAATTGAACGTTTGGAGGGAGGCAAGATGGATAGCTTAAGTAAAGTGGGTTCACATGCACCGAGTACATGCGAGACTTGCTCGGTCCATTAACCCAAAAAGGGGGAAAAAAGAAGAATAAAGAAAAGAAGGACCTCTCTCGATCTTTCTTTTACTGTTAATGAAGTCTGTGCAAGTGGGTGGAGATTTCACATGGTCCTCGATATTTACATATACACTCTAGGAGTAAACTTTAGGGCTTTACCATGTATTGGTCTAGACTCTAGATGTTATGGGAATTTGCTCCTCTTTTTTTGGCGGTCTTGAGTCCAAGTCTTCTTAGGAACTGTTCATGAGTAAAATCACGAATGTACCAAGCTGATATGGAAGAGTGTACCTTTAAAATTGCCTCGAGAGGTAGATCGATCGAGGTACGCGAAAGTCACTTTGACCGCCACCTAAGCCGCTATACAAAAAAGATATTTAGGATTTTGATAATTAGTGCCCATTAGCGCTTGTTAACAAACCATTTTAAGAAAAATTTACAATATCTTATACACCGAGTGATCTCATGTTATGCACAATTAACGTCTTGATACACTAGTTTACAAAATTTCAATCTTTATTATTGATTGATTTCTACTGCTTTCGTAATTCGGTGGGGTCTTAATTGATCTCGAATCAATACGTCGGGAAACCCCAAAAAAAGCCTAATGGCTTTTCAAGTGCTTCGGTCCTTCCATTTGATTTCTCGTACGTACCACGCGAGGAAAAATTCCAATTAAGGACCCCAAGTTAGGCCTTTTTTTCAAAAGAGGACCCCAAGTGGATTTAGTGTCAAATAAGGACCCGAAGTGCCCAAAAAGTCTCAAATAAGGGCCTGGGTCGCCGGCCGGCCAAAATGCCTGCCGGCCGGCGAGAATGTTACTATTCCGGCACCGGAACAGTAACTTTTTAATTTTTTTTTCCTTTGCTATTTGTTTTCTTTTCCTTTTTTTTTCTTCTCTTCCTCCGCCGGCCATAGCCGGGGCCGGCGGAGGTCGTCAGCCTCAGGCGAGGCCGCCCTCGCCGGCGTCAGGCGAGGGCCGCCCTTGCCAGTTACCGGCGAGGTCGAGCCTCGCCCGATCTGGCGAGGGCTCGGCCCGCCGGGCCGGCCGGCGAGGCTTGACCTCGCCTCGCCTCGCTCGACGCCGGCCTCGCCCGACGCCGGCGAGGTTGAGCCTCGCCCGGCGGCCGGGCGGGGCCGAGCCCTCGCGGATCCGGCGAGGCTCGACCTCGCCGACAGCCGGCGAGGCTCGACCTCGCCCGAAGAACGGCGAGGTCGAGCCCGGCCAATTCAGTTAGGGCTCGACCTCGCCGGCGTCGGCGAGGCCGGTCTCGCCTTTGCGGGCAAGGCCGGCCTCGCCCGACGCCGGTGAGGTCGAGCCTCGCCAGCGGCCGGCGAGGTCGAGCCCTCGCCAGAACTAGCCAGGCTCGACCTCGCCGTTGCTGGGCAAGGTCGAGCCTCGCCAGCGGCAAGCCCTCGCCTGAGGCCGGCGACCTCCGCCGGCCCCGGCTATGGCCGGCGGAGGAAGAGAAGACAAAAAAAAGAAAAGAAAAAGAAAAAAAACAGAAAAGGAAAAAATAAAAAAAAATTACAAATTTACTGTTTCGGTGCCGAAATAGTAACATTCTTGCCTGCCGGCAGGCATTTTGGCCGGCCGGCGACCCAGGCCTTATTTGAGATTTTTTGAGCACTTCGAGTCTTTATTTGAGACTGATTGAGCACTTCAGGCCCTTATTTGACATTAAGTCCACTTCGGGTCCTCATTTGAAAAAAAAAATGCTCCGTTTAAGATCCTTAATTGGGATTTTCCTTACCACGCGATGTGAGGGAGACTTTTTTGTCTCGCAATGGGACTAATGTGTGACTGCACTTGAAAGTTAACGTGTGATATTCCCTTTCCCAACGTCACGTCCAATTCGATGGATGGAAGAAGTTAAAATGTCATGTCTATTTAATGGAAAAAGAACAGAGTGAGATGAAAGAAGTTAAAATGTCACATCTATTTAATGGAAAAAGAACATAGTGAGAGTGTCAAAGCGATGGCAATTCACCATTTTGGTTTGCAGGGTGGATCCTGCAAATAGCTATTCATTCCCTTGCCCTATTGGTTAATTATATTCAACCATGACTGATGAGTTTAATTTAACATAAATAAAATTCATATCTTGGTAATATCAGTTCATTTTAAATTCAATTTAAGTATAGGAATGCAACGTCATTTTTGAAAATGAAAAATAAATTTATTCATAAGTGTATGACATATATATATACCTTGGCCCCTTTCAAGGAATGCATATTCTTGTTTTCGAGGGAATAGACACACCGGAGGATGCGATTAGCGCTAGCAATCCTTTTTGGCGATATCATAAGAGTCTCACACCTGCTAATATTCTATTTGAGCCATAGCTATATGCGCTACTAGCAACCTAAAAGTTCGGGGGCAACAAGTCCGTCATTGTAACCCTAGCAAGATACTTGCTATTGAGAAGCCTCTCCACTCGATGTATCATGTAGCTATGCAACGCTGCACAAACCAATGGAGAGTCGGTGAAAGAATTATCTATTTTGAATTAATAGGGAACCGTAAATATCATTGATTTAGTCGTAAAAATGTCATATATCTATCACTCGATTCTTTCTCTTTCTTTCTTTGATGAATTCCGATAGCATTTCATGTGCTTAGCTTTTTTTTTTTCTCTAAAAATTTCGTGTGCTTAGCTACGTCGCTTTGATTAGACCTTGAATGCAGTACCTTTATTCATTCATGATTAGAATGACTTAATTTTTGTTAATTAGTAATGATGATCATGACTTCCCACCCTAGAATAATGTTCAAATTTGTAAAATATCAAATGCTTTAGTATTAAATATTGGGATAAGTGCATCAAAAGTCCTAAAATTTGCCACAAAAGTGCAATTGAGTCCTAAAACTTTTAAAAAGTGCAATCAAGTCATAAAACTTATTGCAAAAGTGCAATCGAGTCTTAAAACTTTCAAAAAGTGCAATCAAGTCATAAAATTCGTCACGAAAGTGCAATTGAGGCCTAAAATTTTCAAAAAATCAAAACAAAATTGGGACTTGATTGTATTAATTTGATAAGTTTTTGGAATTAATTGCACTTTTTAAAAGTTTTAAAACTTGATTGTACTTTCGTAATAGTTTTAGAACTTCCACTATACTTATTCCTTAAATATTTGCATATAAAAAGTCTTAGCATTTTGCTTCCCCCTTAAGACAGTCTCTCTCCAGCTCTTGGCTCTCTCATCTTTTGGCTATTCTCGTTTCATACTCAAACATCATCATGTCCTCCACATCTCTTCCTCCATCGCCTGAGCAATGCCTCGTTGTACGTCTGTGTCACACACTCTATTTGCATGAATGCTCATTCATGCCTGCGTCTAAGCAGAGCACAAAATGTATATTACCTCTCTTCACATTCTTGAAGAAAAGAAAAAAAAAAACTGCTTCAAATTCGATTGATGTTTGTGTGTTTGGAAGCACAGGCGGGATTCGTGAGACTTGTCTGGATTACTTGGCTGTTTTGTCCACTTTACCCATGCCTGGTGACAAAACCCAATGCAGGAGCATGAAAGTACTCCATTTTCCCTGACTGTGATTTTTTTTTAATTTGTTTTCTTGGCCTTCCATAGGGATGGACTTGTTTTTAAGAAAGTGAACTGACAGATTGTTCCATGGAAGATTGTTCTTGAAAAAAGTTATGATACCAAAATGAGAATTGAATGAAAGTTACGGCAGTGTTAGTGTCCTTATCCTGAGATAAGACATCAGCAGGAGTAAATCCATTTTCACGTTCTTCGCTTTTCGTTGTTTATGTTCATCAGTTTTGATCCAGTCCAACCACTTCTCATTTATGTTGATGCCATTGAAGAAACGTGTATGCCAGAAATGATGCTTTTAGACAATTAGGTTTCTGGAGTGACCTTTAAATCCTCTGTCTACTGTTTAGGTTCAAGGAAATGGAGGAGCAGCGAACGCTTTAACTTGTTTGGCTCGTCTGGGTGTGAGAGCAAGGCTTATGTCCAAGGTTACTGGCTGGCATATCTATAAATTTTCCATTTTGATCTACTCAAATGTCTGACTTAGAGGACCACATTTAGATTTTTAGCTAAACATTTTCTGCATGCTTTGTGAAATTAACTAGATTGCTGATGACGTCCCCGGTAAGTGCATATTGGGGGAGCTAAAGGCTGATGGTGTAGATACCTCTTTTCTTGTGGTAAGATTTATATTGATACCTTGCCGTTTAAGGGAGCATCTTCAAGTAATCATCTGCATGTGCTTGGTAAATTATTAGGATGTGCATTAAGCTGAAGCAGATTATCTAGCTCAAATCCGTTTCTGCGTCGGCATGCTATCCAAAAGATTCTGGTTTTACTCATTTAGAGATCATTTTCTTTCTATAGGAGAACAAACACTTTCTTCTCAGCAGCTTTGAGGTTTTTATTCAAGTACCGATCTGCAGTTGCTTCTATGTAGACTTCAGCTAAAAAGAACGAAGTCACTGAGGAACTAATTTTGGCGTCTATAACTTTAGAATTAGAAATCTGCAATTCTTGTTGTTCTTCACTTACACCTAATCACTGGTTTCTTAGAAGAGCATTGCATGCTGTCCACTCGAGTGGCTTTTTTGTCCCCAAAACCTTTGTCTTTTCTCCAGGTTGCCAAGGATGGACAAACGCCGTTTTCCTATGTTATGGTCGACGAATCAACGTGAGGACATCTCCTATCTTAATTTGACCAGAATTTCATGTAGTTTCGTAAGCATGTTTGAGCATTTAAGCTGCTCTTCCCTAGCATTCTTTGTGTTAGCATTCTCTTTGAGATATCGAGAATAGGGATATAGGTTTTTCAGTGGCAAAATTAGCATATGAAGAATGCTTCTTTCACGTTCGTAATTCCAGTTCATTCAATCTTCAGTACCCTTTGCTTAGCTTTGGTTCATCTTTTCCTCGGAGGGAAGTTATTTAATTCTGTCATTTCTAAGAACTCAAGGATCAGTTGTACTATAGAAATGATTATTTGAAAATGTTGATGGACTATGACACGGATTTCGATTTCTCGCTGCAATCATTATGCTCAAATTCTGAAAAAGAGACAGAAATTAGGATTGCTCTTGGGATACCATGCCAAATGTCCTGTCGTGTTACTTTGTTCCGTACAATTTCTCAGTTGTATATTTTTTTTCTTAACAAAAGATGCTAACGTAATATCCGGCGTTTACATGTGGCTATCAACTTTGATGAGACTTTCAGGAGAACACGTACTTGCATCTTCACACCAGGATTCCCCGTCATGGAACCGGCTGACATTTCCCAGATGGTTTTAAAATCTGCACTCGAAGGAGCGAGGTTTGTCTACTTTGATGCAAGACACAGATACTGCAATAGTTGTTGCCGAAGAGGTATAGTCATCTTATTTTCTTCTATTTTTGTTGGTGCTTACTGTATAAGATACAGCAGATTAGGAATTTTCTCTCACATGAAATGTTTGGGAAATACTCTCTAATACTCATATTCTAAGACTACATCTCATTTGTCGGTACAAGGAGCTGCGCAAAATATACCCATTCTGCTTGATGCAGAAAAGAAAAGGCCAGGATTGGAAGGTCTTCTTCAATTATTGGATTATGTCGTATGTTCAGCTAAATTTCTGCAGGTAAACCAACTATAGGGCAGTCCAGTCTATTGTTGATTATTAAACTCTAAGCCGGATGATAAAGCTGCTACTCATCTGCTAGGAAAGACATTTGATATTCGACTATCAAATTATTGTTTATTAAGGAAACTTTGCTGAGTTTGGTTTACTGAATGCTTTTGCTAGAAACTTGTCGCACTTCATCGCATGTAGTACTCAATATATAAATGTTCCACGAGTTTCCTCTGATGCTTTGTATAAGTTAGCTAGTAACCTTGACACATTGGACATCTACATTTGGTCAACATTGTCAGATATAAACGGTTCGAGCCATTTATTGGAGCTTTCGTCTGCTTTCGCTGTGTGCTTATTGGCTGTTCAGTTTGTCAATAAACTCTGAATGCAACATGATTTCTATGTACAACAGGCATGGACAGAGGCACCATCTTTGCCTAGTGCCCTTTTATCCATACTTCTTAGATTACCAAAACTGAAATTCGCAATCGTGACCTTGGGCAAACATGGATGCCTGATGCTGGAGAGATCATCAGATGGTAAGTTCGGGACTCCGGCCGTGACCTTTTCTTTCCCCTTACGCAGGAATGCCTTCAACCGATGCTTAAGTCTTCACTTTATGTACAGCAGAGAACCCTCCGATGGGAGAAGAAGATGCCGATAGCTTATTGCACTCTTTGGAGCAAGAAAAGGATGATAGTGTAGCCAGACCAATGTGCATTCCATCGGTAATGTGCTTTGCTAATCGACGTCAAATAAGCTTTCTCGTTGTGTTATTATTGTGTTTAAAGCCAGTTGGAGATACTAGAGCAGCTTTCTGTGCTGAATTTCAACAATTCCCAATTACTATCTACTGATAATGCATGACTTTTTGATAATAGTAAGTCGCTTAGTCAAAAATGAATTATGAGATTGAACATATCAACCAATTGTATAATTGAATGTGAAAATGTGTCCTCCCGTTGCATTGAAATGAATCTCTTTTTCTAACTTGTTGCCAGATATCTTCTTAAGTCTACTCTTGAAAATGCTGGTTATACTTTTCCTCTAGCCATTGTCCGGATTACAATTGTTCAGAATGAGCAGGTCCTTGTCAATCCTCTATGCTTATAAGCAAAGTAGTCTAGGAAAGGAAGCCTGATTCAGTCAAGTACTTCTATGCTAATGAATTTAAAATCCGTTATGAACTCTCATCTTACTTCCCAAAAGCTAGTATTGAGGTGGGTGAGCCCTGGGCCATATAAACCACACATCGAAGTCCCATACCATCGATGAAGGATCCAAGTCGCATACCTTGCAATAAGGAAAAATAAGATATGATGTTTAAACACAACGTAAGCAATCTCGAATGGTAGTTGCCTTACACAAATCACCCTCTCCATGATCCTCGAATGGAAGGCGGGTTTCCATTTACTACTACAGTACAACCAACAAATAAATTTTCCCATTTTCTGTTTTGTCCCGATTACTTCATTCATTAGATGTGATTGGGGGAGAAAAATATTTTGGCAATGTTGCTCAAAGGCAGCTTGGCAGTTTCTAATAGTTTGTAGTACCTTCCATTTTAGAAGCACACGACACTCCTAGGGTAGAAATTTGGTTTTATACTTGAAGTGCCCGCGCTCATTATTGTTCTAGCTTGGAAATGCATGACATTGTCTGGTTTGCATTGATTACATTGGAATAATAACTAACGACAATTTGTTTTCCTGTCAGAAAGTGGTAAAACTGAAAGCAAACGGAATTGGGACATTGACCGGTAGATTGCTCGTGGGTACTGCCGAAAGGATACCGCCATCAGAACTAGTCGACACAACTGGTGCCGGCGATGCTTTCACCGGAGCTATTCTCTATGGTAGGCTTAGCTATAGATTAGAAACTCTCCATTTGTTTGTGCAGTTAATCATGCTTCATTTTCATGGTGGGATAGCACAGCTTGGTTGCTCACTCCATATTTTGACTAACTGTTTCCCATTACTCATATTCTGTCACGTGATAAATGACAATGTAAATCATAAACTCGGAGATAATCATGCAAGTATCCCGCATGGGCCAGACCATGGTCAACAGTATTATTTGGTTGCAAATTACTTTTGCATCATAAACTTTACAAAAGGTCGTATGCTCCCTATCACATGATATTTAACCATCAATCGTAGATAGACAAAGTATGATATGTTAGAGCGACATACCACATGACACTCCACACCAACATATAAATGTGCAAATGCATCGGTTCTCTCGGATGAAGACCTTGACGTGTTCTACTTTCGTTCTCGTTCTTGCAGCATTGTGTATGAACATGGGCCCGGAAAAGATGCTTCCATTTGCTGCCACAGTGGTAAGTAGTGTTGGAGTTGGCGAATACTTCGGAGACCCTTGTTTTTCACACCGGGTACGCCCACGTGAGCTTAGGGACACTGAAGTGTTATCTGATGACATGTGACCCCTACGTGCGGAATGCGGGGGTTCGGGGGTAGCGCCCCCGACACGGGTGCCCCGCTGCCCGGTCAGCGGGCGGGGGTTCGGGGTCAGCGGACGGCTGCCCCGCTCGCCGGTGAGCGGGCGGGGGCTCGGGGGCAGCGCCCCCGAAACCTCAACGGGTTTGGGCTTTTATTTAAGCTGGCCCGTATGGTGCGAGATTAAGAGATTTCGTATAGGTTTAGGTTTTGGGCCCGTTTGGGGCACATATATATTTTGCTCGTTTTTCTGATCATTGTAACGAGTTGAGTGGCTGTAAACCGAAAATATAGTGAAATCTCTTTGCAGGACGTAGCCCTATTCGAGGGTGAACCTGGGTAAATTCGTACATCGTCTATTTTCTCTGATTTCTGCGTGATCGTTCTGTTTCGGTTCTCGATACATCCCTTCATGTAGACTTTCTTCCTTTGAATTGATGAAGTGACAAGAGAATTATAGTTGCTACCTAGAAAGTGTCTGAACTTAGTTAAGTCAGACGAAAGACAGGAACATCACATAATTTTGTCATACTAATCGCTTATGAGTTGTTCTTTTCATCCCACCATTATTCAACTCCAGGCGGCTGCTGGGTGCAAGCAACTGGGAGCTAGAACTGGTCTTCCCTTCCGGACCGATCCATTTTTGGCTCCGTATTTAGACAAACCGGCAATTCTGTGAAATCAAACACAGAAAGTCTTCCATGTAATGGCGACTCATGGAGCACACCGATTGGTTATGGAACATTGGATAATTGAGTTTTCATGGAGATCAAGTCTATGTATACCTGCTAATTAGTTATGGAAGATTGGCTATGTCTAAGTGTGCCTTTTGGAGAGCACAATGACGAACATGGAAAACACTTTGCTCCAACAATGTCCGTCCTTGTCGATGGATACAAAATCCACATGAATTCGATCCCAAGTTACATTCAGAGATCTTTGGGCTTTGTATATTACTAAGTCGCCTAGTTGGTTGCTGTCGAATATCATGACGCGCTCATCGTTCATGTTGACCAAATGACATTGCATAACTGTGATAAAATCATCAAATTGCACTCGGCAAAGTTCGACACAGCGACACGCTCGAATAACAGGTTTCCTTGTAATGTTATCGTCACAACGGTCTCTGCATTGTTGCTTCGTATTACGCGAAGTGCCAAGTCATGGTCCACGCCAACGAAATTAAGCAAAAACAATCCACAAAAACGAAGGTAATAAACTTTATAATGTAACCTACATGTTCAAGGAGTGAAAATTTGATTGCCAATCTTAGCTCAACGGGTTGACCCATCTATATCAAACGGCCTAGAAAGCATCAACCCCCAATCCAAGAACCGACGATGAAACTATGGAGTTAATACAAAACGTGAACCTTTTTTTTTTCTTTTTTTGAGTTATAGTAAAGTTAATAGATAGTATAATATGTTTAATACATTCTTAAATTCATTTGAGAGAGAGAGAGAGATGTTAGTGTTGACATCGTCGATGCTCAACAATGAGCAAGGTGACCAGCACGGTGGCAGGTCACGGTGGTCGGCGATGGATGAGTTAGGTTTCGGGTTAGCATGGGGATTTGGAAATTTTAGCTTTTGGTTTGGGTATTTTTGAAATAAAAATAACTAGCATTGTGAGTAAATCTAGAATTCTAACCAAGATCGAGGTGCAAATCGGTGTCTAGGGTTAAAACTGAATGTGCAAAAACTGTGTATTTGAAAGTGAATATAATAGGGCGGAATCTTAAAAAGATTAAAATTAATGTTGTAATATCTTTAAAAAGAACGAAAAAAACTTACATTCTTATCTAGATACAGGTCCACATGGACCGGTATCATAATTGCTAATCTCATGAGCATTACATATGCGATCAACGGCTGTGATTGCGCTGGGTTCGGCGATCCGGGTCCAGGTGAGACTTTCTTCTTCAACTAGTTGCATCTGTCTTGTTTCGGGCTAATTTCGGAAAAAACAAAAATCCATATTTTATGCCAAGAAAAAGAAAAAGAAAAATCGATCGTCAGTGGTCGACCACGTGAAAAGCGGTAAATTATTCTCGAGGCTAAGACCCATCAGCATTCCCATCCAACGGACGCGATCGCACCGAACATCGGCCCCCCCCCTCAATCGAGACCGTCCCTCTCCGATCCTCTCTCCCCTTCTTCACATCATGTCCACGTCATCCGACACGTCCGTAGGATGACGTCAGGTGGAGGCGCTTCGACGCGCAAAGCAACTCTCGTACGCTAATCGAATGAAATAGAGAAAGACCCCATCAACGGCGAATCCGACCGGGCAGCACCATGCAACTTACTTGGAAGTTTGAGACTTTTGGAAGTCATATCATAAGGACGTGGGAACTATTCTTTTTCATTTCTTTTTTTAACTTCTCTTCACGGCGTGGCCGAGGTTTTGAATCAATTGCATCTTTCTACGGTGTTCTTATTTCGAAAATGCGGAGCGGGGTGCAAATCCGGGCCGACATGCAGTGCGATTGATTTCATGAAACGCCGACGGGTTGCGAATTGGATTTGAAATTCTTTCGTAAGCCGCGTGCCTTATTTGCGTGATTTTGATGCCGCCAAACTTGTTTATCAAACCGTCAATTGATTTTGGATTTCATAAAATTCACGAATCCTGAATTATGTAAGAGGGAAAGAAATTTTAACGCCCGGTCGTGAGCTGAGCTGTCCCCCCTGAGTCCGATAATGACCCACGTGTACAAAGGTTGAGCTGTCCTTGACAAGCTGTTGTATCGGTCTTCTTAATCAAACCCGTAATGACAAGCTTTCCGTAATTAACAAAACTCTCCGAGTGTTGACTTTGACAGCAGAAAGCGCGGAGGGGCGGGAAAGGAGGAGGAGGAACGCATGCATAAATATCTTTCGTAAACATTGATGGAGAAACGCAGAGAAGGGCCAGGAGCACACGAAAACGGCTTCCAGAAAATCTCTGCCAATCGATACTCTCTCTTTCTCTTTCGAAGAATTTGAAGCTTTTCATTTTGTGACGTGAATGTTTTTTGGGTTTTGCTCTTCTTCGGAGTGTTTGCTTGGAGGAGTGAACCGGACGCTTCTGCGAGAACGAAGAAGTCGAAGTTTGTTGGTGGCCGGTTGGACGGTTTTGTTTAGAGAGGAGAGGAGTTTCTGACTGGATCGTGTTCGGTCAAAATGGTACAAGTGTTTGTTGACATATTCTTCGGTCTGTGGAATGATCTTTGTGCTAGCTAAATCTTTCGTCGAATGTGACTGCTCATTGCATCGTATTTCTGTCTGTTTTTGGTATTTCTGTCAGGCTGAACTTTTCTTAGACAAGAACAAAGACTATGTTATTGCAGAACATCAAGCACTCTTGAGTGCTTCTCAATGGTCTTTTGTTTCTGGATTATTTCCGCCTCCGGCTGAGGAGTCTTCCAAACAGTTAAAGCACTTGTGGTTAATAGGATCTCGATTCAAGGTTCATGTTTGCTTGATCTCTTATGCCTGATTGCCGACTTCATCATTTCTTATGTCTTACTAATAGCGTCCCTATTGACTTATGCAGCAACAATTACAGACATTGCTTGAAACTTTGAGTGCTACTGAGCCACATTATATACGATGTGTGAAGCCAAATAACCTTCTCAAGCCAGACATTTCTGAGAGTATAAATGATTTACAACAACTGCGTTGTGGGGTAGTACTTTTACTGGAATTCAGTAGCCTTGGAACAAGTTTGGTTGCCTCAAACCAATCTGCTGCTGTTCTTAATTCTTTCTGACCTTTTTTTCCTCTCTCGCTATTGCACTTTAGGTTGTTATGGAGGCCAATAGGATAAGTTGTGCTGGATATCCAACAAGAAGGCCCTTTTTTGAATTTGTGGACCAATTTGGGATTCTTGCTCCTGAAGTTCTTGACCGCAGAGGAGATAGACATTGCAGATGGCCGACCTTACCGTCCATGGCCACTCACCTCCACCTCCACCTCCACGCCTCTTCACTTCCCACCCGAATCGCAATGGTCATTTGTCTTTTGTGACTTTTGATTTCTCTAAGGACATGCAATGGCCTCAGTCATGGAGAACATTTTCCGGCCATAAATTAAGATGACTAATGATTTCTAATGGGGCAATGCAATGCGTTTCTTGATAGGATTGGTTCTGGCACTGGGTTGAAATTTCGGACATGAACTAAGATAAAATTTATATTTGCAGATTGGTAAAACAGAAGTATTTCTCAGAGCTACTCAAATGGCACAATTTGATGCTCGTAGGACTGAGGTCTTAGGAAGATCGGCAAGCATCATTCAGAGAAAAACGCGTTCTTATTTGGCAAGGCGAAGTTTTGTCTTGCTCCAAAAGTCTGCTATGCTTATTCAAGCTGTTTGCCAAGGTATATGCTCAGTAGGTGTCATACTCGTCTCTTTAACTTTGGGGGAATCTGTATTTCGGTCATTTCACATACTAAACATGGGAACTGGTTGTGTATATAGCCTGAAGTTTCTTCTTTTTCCAATTTCAGTACAACTCGCACGTCACATATATGAGAGCATGTGGCATGAAGCTGCCTGCCTCAGGATTCAGAAATATTTGCGTATGCATATTGCTAGAAAAGCATATAAGGACTTGTGTTCCTCAGCCATATGTATACAGACAGGCTTACATGGGATGGCTGCTCGATGCGAGCTACGACTGAGAAAGCAAATCAAAGCTGCTATCGTTATTCAGGTAGGCGTCCATTCTTCATCCAGAGTGGTTTGCAATCCTTTTGCCAGTCCAAGCTTTTGCTTCCACCGAGGAGTTCGAAGCAATCTTTGCCTCTGCTAATGTTCGTGTCATCCGATTTCCTTGTAAAAGGTTTACATAATAATGTCTTTTTTTGCTTAAAATACTGATCTTTATAGGATTCCATACTTCTCTTTTCTGTTTTATATCACTTCGGAATAATCTCTCTCTCTCTCTCTCTCTCTCTCTCTCTCTCTCTCTCTCTCTCTCTCTCTCTCTCTCTCTCTCTCTATTTTCTTTTTTCCAGAGTCATTGTCGCAAATACCTGGCACGGGTCCAATATCTGGATACTGAAAAGGCAGCACTTACAACTCAGTGTGCATGGAGAGGGGGAGTTGCTCGTAGAGAACTGCGGAAGCTTAAGATGGTAATTTGTTTTCTTTCGTCATATGACTTTTTTTCCGATCGTTTGGTATATTGTTAGTGGAAATTCAGTTTGGACTTGTTCGTCTGATTTTAATTCTTTCCAATTGTCCACAAAAAGAAAATCGATGCAGTGTAGTAAGTGCAATTTTTCAAGAAAAAAGGTACATTGAATTAGTAGGAAAATGTGATTTTGGAAGTTGGATGAAGGAGACAGGCAGACGTGGATAGAATGGTGGTATTTGCAAAGGAAAATAAATCATCAGGGCTACTGAAAAGTGTACCTCATAATGACTTAATGACTTGCTTGTTCTGCTGTCGCCGTTGCATGTTTGACTTGTCAAATTCTCGGACTCATTTTTCAAGGTGGAAATTTTGATGAGCAGTTGAAGTTGCCATGCATTCCTTGCCCATGTTCTTTACCAGTTGTGTGGTCTTTCTGAAAAATTTGGAGACCATGCCCGTTCTTTTCGATTTAGTAATAGGTTCTTTCCCTGTGTTTACACAGGCTGCCACAAATAAGCTAGAAAAACAAGTGGAAGAACTTACGTGGAACTTACAACTGGAGAAACGCAGGAGAGTAAGTCTCATGGCATTCTATCCTTACAATCTCCGTCAGCTATAGTCTAAGTTTTAACTTTAGATTTTATTTGCTGAAGTTATGGTCCTTATTGCTGTTTCATTTGCGTGGAGAGCAAGGCCATACATGTGCCGCTCATTGGTCGGAGGTCTTCCTCCACAGTATAAGGTCTCCTAGGTTTGGCTGTCTCGTTTCCAATGCATGCAAGATTAATAAGGCCTTGGACAAATATAAGACTTGATTATTTCCGTGAGTTTTAGTCATTGAAAAGTTACTTGATAGCTAGTTATCTATTGCTTCGTTCGGAAACTTTCATGTCTTGTTGCTTTTTGGCTTAGAATCAGAGGATTTTGTTGAGAAGCAGTAATGAGTTTCTCAGGCAATTGTTTGTGTAATGTATATATATCATAAAAGTTTTAAGAGTGTTTGTGTTGGGCAAAACTTCATGATAAAGGAAAATGATTCCGAGAAATCAATTTTCAGGAAAATGTTCTCCCCTTTTCAAGTTAGGGAATTCATTTTCCTAACTTTAAACTTACATATTTTCTTTGACCGTAATTAGTTTTCCGTCGACTGATCATTTTCAGCAAACCAGATGCGTGAAAGTCCAGAAAACTAATTCGCGAAAAATTCTTTCACTCAAACAAATGCTCCCTAATTTCTTGTTCATTTTGCTAAAATTTTGCAGGCTGATTTAGAAGGGTCAAAGAATCAAGAAAATGCAAAACTACAGTCTGCTTTGAATGACAAACAACTTCAATTCAAGCAAACCCAAGAGTTGCTTTCAATTGAAATCGAAAGACTCAAGGTAAGATAGTTGGAGCTGTATCTGCATGTTCACCATCATCTACTTATGAGAGTTATAAAATGTTTAGATGCCTGTATGGAGGTCCTATCTTTTACATCGGGAATTACCTTTTTCAAATAATTGCAGGGTTTGATCAATTCTCTGGAAAAGAAAATTGGTGACACTGAGAAAAAGTATGAGGAGACAAAAAAGATTGGTGAAGAAAGACTGAAGCAAGCTCTGAAGGAAGAGTCAAAGATGATTGAGATGAAGACAGATATGCAAAGGTTCTTTTCTTCTTGCTTGCCTAATTACTGTCCACGTTAAAAATGAATAATGCAATGTTAAACCAGTCAATGGGTTTCCAGTTTTCTTCTTTTCCTCTTTTTGGATTTCTCCTTAGTTCTCATGTCAAAGACGTTTTTTCTTCCTATCTGAAGGCTGGTCGAGAAAATCTCTGACATGGAAAATGAGAACCAAATACTTTGGGAACATGTAATCGTGGAGAATGGGATAAATGTAATACAACGCAACTTTATCATCTCTACTCATGGTTCTGGATGTACATTACCGTATCTCACTTTGTGTATCTGTTTCTTAAAAACCTTTATAAGCAGGAACAACGGAGGCCAACACCTGTGAAGAAGTATGGTACATGTCGAATTTTGCGGAACCTTGTGTGCAAGTGTATATGTATTTGGAACACAATAGATGAGCAAGAGGATTGAGAACAACAAGGCTTTATTGTAGGGAAAAGGACATTAGGAGTGCCAAAAGTTGTGTACTGTACGGCGCTCACTTTAATGCCAAAAGTTTTCGTCGACTCACTTAAATGCCAAATCGAAGAAAAAATGATCACTTAAGTGTTACCGGCGAGAAATTCTGGCCAAATTAATTATGTGGCTTTCAAAATTAAACTTTTAATTTCAGTTGCTTTTATTTTTTTAAGTCTATGTGGCATTTTCATGTGTATATTTCTCCCTCCTTTCCCTCCACGTCCACCCTCCTTCCAAACTCCAAATGTTATGGGCATAAGCCGCCACTTCAGAAACTGTAACAGAAGACATAGGCTCAAAGTACGCTAGAGGAATTGTTATGCGGGAATGCCTTGTAGCTGTAGTTTACATAGTTTCCTTGTACAAGAGAGAAGCACTTAACGTATTTGTTTTGATTCAATAATTTTGAACCCCGTTTTATGAATGAACCTAATAAAGAAAAATGAAAAGAACAATTAAGTCGCGAATGATAATCATTATATTTATCTATTTTTCTATTTTTTTGTTTCTGAGAACAGGTTTGGAATAGAAATCGAAAGTAAAAAAAATCTAATTTTCTATTTCTGGAATAAAAAAGAGAAATAAAAACTCTTCTTATCGCTCGCCCTCGTTACTAGTCGGCTATCCACTCGCCGCTCGCTATTGCCACCGGCCACCTCCCGCCACCGTCGGCCGCCTCTCGCCGTCGGCCGCCTCTCGCCGCCTCCCCCCGTCGACCGCCTCCCGCCGTCGGCCGCCTCCCGCAGCCGTCCTTTGCTGACCGCCTCCTCTCGCCGCCATCCTCAGCCATTTGCCACCACCCGCCCATCGCCGCCTCCCGCCGTCCTTCGTCACCACCTGCCGGCCACCGTCCACTGCCAGCCACCGTCCTCCGCCGCCCAACGCCGGCAGCCACTCGAGGCCAGCGGCCGCCATGCTCCACCGCCCGACGCCGGCCACCGTCCTCCACTGCTGGCCGTCGTGCTCCACTGCCAGCAGCCTCTTGCTGCTAGCCACCGTCCTCCGCCACTCTACGCCACCGACCACCAGATGTCGCCGGCCGCCGTGCTCCACTGCCCGGTGCTGGCCGCCGCCGTCCACCGCAGGCCGCCTGCCACCGTCCTCCGCCGCCGGTTGCCTCTTGCCTTCGACCACCGTTCTCCACCGGCTGCCTCTTACCACCGTCCTCCGCCCCCGACGCCGCCAGCCACCCACCGCCGGATGCCTCTTGCCTCCGACCACCTCCCGCCTGTAACAACCCGGTCCGACGAGGGCGGGGAGTGGTCGCCGGGGTTCAAGGACCTGGACAAGGAGCGGCTCTTGGAAGGCTTCTAGAATGGCAAGGGGGCATCTCTCTGTCCCACATCGCTTAGGGGGAGTCCTGGGGTTGCTTATAAGGCCTGGGTGGCCTATCCTGTGTAACGCGTTTTAAAGCCATGAGGGTCAGTGGGCCCAAAGCGGACAATATTACACAGTGTAGACCCGGGGTGTTACAAGTAGTATCGAGCCGACTCCCGACCGCGTGTGGGGCCACAGCGAGGACGCCGTGCTCGAAGGAGGGAGAATGTAACGACCCGGTCCGACGAGGGCGGGAATGGTCGCCGGGGTTCAAGGACCCGGACAAGGAGCGGCTCCGGCGAGCTTTTAAGATGGCAAGGGGGCATCTCTCCGTCCCACATCGCTTAGGGAGGAGTCCCGGGGTTGCTTATAAGGCCTGGGTGGCCTATCCCGTAACGCGTTTTAAAGCCGTGAGGGTCAGTGGGCCCAAAGCGGACAATATTACACAGTGTAGACCCGGGGTGTTACACCGCCACCGGCCTCCGTCCTCCGCTACTGCCGGCCACCGTCCTCCGCCACCCACCGTCCTCCGTCGGCCACCCGGAAGGGAAAAATTTTGTATCGTTATCAAACGAATTTCTATTTCGGAAACAGAAATTTTATGTTGTTATCAAACGTGCATTTTTGCTCAGAAACTAGTCCAGGGAATAGAAATAAAAAAATCTATTTTTGGTCAGAAATTGATTTTTGGAACAGAATGGTTATCATTCTCGCTCTTACAAGCCAGGGTGGTGGATCGAGAGTGAGGCAACATTAATGTGAAATTTGTGCTGGTGTGCGCTTGGCACTGAAATAACCACTTTTTAACAACGACTGGCACTGAAAATCGGGATAAGGACACTAGGAGTGCCATAACTTTCGTACGGCGCTTACTTGAGTGCCATAACTTTTTTTTCGCTCACTTAAGTGTCACTTCCGGTAAAAAAAGATCACTTAAGTGCCACTTCCGGCAAAAAAAAATCATTTGAGCGCCACTTCCGGGAAATCGTCCTACGTGGCTTTTTAATTAAATTTCCATCCGATGTGGATTTTTTTAGTGTTATTTTATTGATTTTTTTGAATTTTTATTTTTCTTTATCTTTCTTATTTTTCATTTTTTTTTCAAGGTTGGCAAGGGTCGCCGGTGACCCTCGCCGGAGGCATTGCCCTTGGCCAAACTGGGCGAGGGCTGCCTCGCCATCGGCCGGTATGGCCGTGAAGGCCCTTGTCGAGGCCATTGCGGCCCCGCCGGCTGCAGGCGAGGCGGCGAAGGCTTTCGCCAGATCTAGCGAGGTCGCCTCACCCGCGGCTGGCGGGGCCGCGATGGCCTCGCCAAGGGCTTTCGCCAGATCTAGCGAGTCTTGCTGCTAATTCATGCGAATATTACAGAAATCACTTGATTCTGCAGAATTTGGTTGAGTCCCCTGTTTCTCGATTGAGTGGAAAACAGAGCTGCGTCGCCATGGATTTACATCACCAGAATCGTTTGCCTAACCGACCAACCAGTCAGGCACAAACATTCCCTTCTCCATACGTACGAACTCCACTATAATTTGTTTGAAATAATTGAGTGAGTTCATGTATCATTCGGGCTACGTACTCCGAGCTCCTGGCTTCAGAAGTTGCACTCATTTGAACCCACTTGAAAGACGAGCTTTATCATACTTCGAGAAATTCAGCAGCAAAATTCAAAGTTGGGTTGTAGACAACTTTTTTGTTATGTAGTTAATACAAAAGCATGACCCTTTTTTCTTTTCTTTTTTGAGTTAGAGTAAAGTTAATAGATAGAGATGTTAAGACATTCTTAAAGTCATTTGAGAGAGATGTCTTAGCATTGAGGTCGCCAGCGCTCGACAACGAGCAATGCGGAGACAAGAATGGTGGCAGGTCACGATAGTTGGTAACGGATGAGTTAGGTTTCGAGTTAGTGTGGGGTTGGAAATTTGAGATTTTGGTTTGAGTATCTTTTAAATAAACATGACGATGTTGTAAATAAAGTCAGTGTACTAACTAATATCAAGGTGCAAATTGGTGTCTAGAGTTAAAATTGAATATGCAAAAGTGTTATTTTGAGAGTAAATGAAATAGTGGGAAGTCCTAATAAGATAAAGAGTTAATACCACGAAAAAACCCAAAATTAGCACACTTGTGATAAATTTATCTCAAACTAATTTTTTTACCACCAAAAACCCCAAACTGGTATACCTGCGACAAATTTACCCTTGGTGAGTTCCGTTAAATTTTACTATCGAATTGTTGAGTTAAATGACACGTGGTAATTGACAGGTGTACTGGTATGGGTTTTTAGCCTCCGTTTGTCACAGATGTATCGATTTGTGATTTCCGTGGTATTAATACAATTTAACGGAAGGTAAATTTGTCACAAATGTATCAGTTTGGGGTTTTTGATGGTCAAAAAATTAGTTTGAGGTAAATTTGTCACGGATGTACCAGTTTGGAGTTTTTCGTGATATTAACCCTAAGGTAAAAACTTGTTTCGTAACAACTTTAAAAAAGGAAAATAATTACAATATCTATTACATATACGATCAACGGGCGTCATTACATTAGGTTTGGCGATTTGAGTCTTGGCGCATCCCTTTTGTTCCGAGCAAAATTCGCAAAAGAAAAAAAAAAATCCCATTTTTATACGATATTCTTTTCGATCGTCGCTGGTCAACCATGTGAAAAGCCGCAAATTATTCTCGAGGCCAAGACCAACCACCGGCCAACTCCGCCGGTGAAGAAGGCCGCGACTCCCGGTCGCCGACCCAACAGACAGCATCCATTCCCATCCAACGTAATCCAACTAAGCACCGTGCCGTGCAGCTTGAAAGTGCCGCGTCTTTTGGAAGTCATGTTATAAGGACGATTGCTTGGTTGGTTGAATAAGGTTTTCGTTGACTCGATCTAATTTAATCCTGTACCTTGTAACCATGCCATGCAGCTTGAAAGTGCCGAGTCTTTTGGAAGTCATATTGTAAGGACGATTACTTAGTTGGTTGAATAAGGTTTCGGTCGCCTCAATCTAATTTAATCACGCACCTTGTAAACATGCCATGCAAGCTTGAAAGTGTTGAGTCTTTTGGAAGTCATATTATAAGGACGATTGCTTGGTTGGTTGAATAAGGTTTCGGTCGACTCGATCTAATTTAATCACGTGCCTTGTAACAATCCGGTTCGATTCGACAGTGATGCTCTCATTTTTTTTCTTTTTCGTTTTGGATTTCAAAATGTATAATCTTTTGTAACGTAAGATACGATACTTAGCGAGTTTAGTGCATGGAAACAAGATTTGACCGTGGATGAATTCGATGTAATTAAGAAAGTTCCGTGTCTATAAGTGCCCACTTCGGCTTATTTGAATCCAAAAGAGGGAGTCTCCTCATTGACCATCGAGATTCAATCTTAGCTCTCTTACCTAGTTAAGGAAGTTATCTACTAGGCAGCAATAGGGCGAATGTCACTAATTAACCGAATTAGGTCTCCGGCCAAGGGCACGGTGGCTACCGCCAATAACTCCACCAACTCCGTCGGCAACTTTAAAGCACTGATAGGTCTACCACATTATATCACAAAAAACTTTCTCTTACGTAGCCAAAGATACCGTCGACTCGATGCGCCGTGGTATTAGTAGTGACTTTGCGACTGCAACTGCAAGCCCTTTTGGAAAAAAACATGAACAACAAGTAGTTAGGCCATGAACATACGATATGCCGATGCATGCGCAAAAGGAAGCAACGT